AACTGACTGGCTGAGCTGCTCTTGTGAAGTGGCCTCTTTCTCGTCACTCCTCTCCCCAAAAGAAGGTCTTACCAGCATTAAACTTTGACTTTCTTATATAGACTATTAAGTTGTGTCTTTTTCCTTTTTAAATAGGAAAACAACGAATTGCTCATAAACCTCATTCCAAACCAAAAACTTCAAATGTTTTCGAAGCAGATTTTGAAAATGATGTAAAACCCAAGGATTTGCCTGCTGATGAGGAATTATGGGCTCGACTTGAAGAGCTAGAGAGACAAGAAGAATTGCGGGGTGAACTTGATAGGTGCTTAATGACATTCTTCTTCCAAGAGAATGTGTGTCTTTCCTCATTGATAAGACAGTGTGTGCTCCTTGAAGGCCATGCAGGGACTGCAAACTTCTCAACAGTCTTTCTGCCCTCACATGGGCAGTATTCTTGCAGAATTTTTTTTTTAAGGAAAGCACATTGCTGTTCTTATGCATACCCACACTGAAAACCATAATCTGTGTTACTTAGATCTCACAATATTATAATGAAGTGATTATACTTGATAGTCAGTAATTGTATTAAATACTAACAAAAAATTTAAAGGTGACCAAACTTTATTTTTTGAGGTGCTAGGGATTGAACTAATGCTTCTATTCTACAAGACAAGCATTCTACACTGCCACAGTCCCCATTCTTAAATAACAAATTTTAAATTATATAATTTTATACTGTTCTCAAGATAATGGTCTGTCCTTGAATGGCTTGTTCAAAAGAAAAATTGTCTTTGAATTTAAATTTGATACTGTAAAATGTTTGTCCTTGCTTTTCCAAACTTTGTTTATTGAGTAGGCTATTTGTAATCTGGTCAGGTAGTTCTGTGTACAAGAAGCTTCACCAAACTGTCATTTGAAATACACATTAGCACTCACTTAGAACCGTCAGAGGCTATATATGAAGTTTGCTGCTTCAGAAGGTCCTATAGTACTTTGCTTAAAATGATGTACCATATGCAGCAGTTAGTTTCTGTGAAAAATAGGACACAAAAAACTTCCTCTGTGGTTTCATCTATGAATTGTTAGGGCCTTTTGATCACTGGCACTAACTAGTTCATTTTTTAAAAGCCAGTGTTGGTTTCAGGAGGCTTAGTCATGATTCTCTGTATTTGCATGATGTCATTTCATTTCTGTTGCATTTTTAGTTGGCTTATTTTTGTAAGGTCTTCAGATCCTTTATGGAATGAAGCGTGATAATTGTGCATTTGTGTGTAAATATGTGTTCATGTGCACATGTAGAGATCTGTTATCTTGAGAAATTCCAATATATGCTGTCATAAAAATTTCTGAGGTCAAAAATAATAATAAATAATAGTATATTGTAGTTTTGGGGTTTGGTGCATTAATTTCTGTTCTTAAAAATAGAGCACCTATTTTTAAAGGTTTCTCTTTTAGTTTAAGAGAGGCTTTATTATAGATTTATATGTGGAAACTTGAAAGAGAGACAGGTGTGGGGGGTTGTGGGGAGAGAATA